CTGACCTTCAGTGGATGCCATATTTTCTAGAGTCATCCTGATAAAGGTGAACACATACAAAAAAATAATTTCTATCATTGTTTAGTATTGAGGCTTTTGTTAATTTTTTTTTAGAGATTTGGCGCATTGAGCTGTTTGGGTTTGTTTGGTCCACTCAGTTTGATTTTCAGTTTCAGCCTTAACAGTCTAAAGGTTTAGGGTTTTGTTTTTTTCCAGTTCTGTTTTGAAAGTTTGAATACAGTGAATACTAAGCCAAAGGATGTCTGTGGAGATGGTGCAGGGCTCTAGGTTTTGAAATATTTCAACAAATTAAAAAAATCAGTGAACCTTTTGGTGCCTCTACCTTTCATCGGGTCTTAACACATCCTGCAAATGTATGGTCATCTTATCACTGAACAGAAAGGAAATGTGATCCTGATTAGCGTGTGCACACTGTCTACATTATACATGGCTTAAATTGTTTATATCTGAACAATATGAATTCATGTTTATTTAAGGTTTTTTGGAGGGGGTTTTTTTTTTTTTGCATGTTTTGTCTTGAGGAAAACATTACAAAATTACTGCTTTCTGTGAGACCTATCCCTAAGGTACTAGTGCACCGCCTGTAAATACTTATGCGATGGAAAGAATTTAAAACAGCTATTGTTCCCCCCTCCCTGGTTTCTAATAAATTCAACATTTTGTGTGAAAGTGTGGCATTTAGCATGGCCAAGAAGAGTCCTGTGAGATTATGTTACAGTCTGACTCCGGTCCTCAGGAGTCATTAGAGAGCATTGAAAACTGTGGCTAACACGGTGCTCAGCTCAAGAACAGCAAGTCCTCAGGTTATTGGAGTAAACCATGGCCGATCATATATGTATCCAGTTCAGATTAATTCTATCAAAGATTTAGCAGAGAGCCCAGAGGGAGCAGTAAAATTTTCCCTGAAAGGGCTTAATATTTTTAATTGCATAAAAACAGTGGATTGAAACAGTTTAATATTTTTAACACTGCAAGCACAAAACAGCATAAAATACTGTGCTTTCAAATAAACATAATGCCCTTAACCTTTTCATCATAAATGTCCTCTGCCGGTGATGTTTTTAATAAAAGGACAGATCCCCCCCCCTGCCCTTTGTTAAAATGGTTTGTCCCGTGCTGGCTGTAGATTTCCATACAGTGGACTAGTTTGTGCTAGAGTTGGGGGATGGGTGTTGCCATGCAACAGTCTGTGCAGGGTACTTTCCCTCTGTCTGTGCGCTGCTAGCTAGTGTTGTCATTGATAATCACTACGCTACATTTAAAAATGATAAAAGGATTAAACTTGCATGTATTTATGGCAAGCTGTAAATAAATCTTGCTACTGTGACAGCAGGAAGGGAGGAAAAAATTTAGCGGCTCATGTTATGCAACAAGACACGTTGCTGTGTCAGGAGTGCTCAACAGGCTTTTCATTTGAAAATGGTTTAATTAATAGCTAGTACAGACTTTATAAAGACTTTATATGACTGCAATGTGCTTGATGGACTGGTCCTAACTGAGCCCCTCCTCTCTTTTGTAGTCTGCTGTTGGCCTCTTAGCCAGTGCCTGCTTCACAGTCAGTAGGCCCCAATCCTACATAACCTGCTTTTAAATTGTGGGTTTTTAAATTAGTTTTTAAAGTATTTCAACAGTTAGTCTCTCTGTTATTTAAGTTGACGTCTTTTTAAGAGATCTCAAGTTAGCTTCTCCTAATGAGATTTTTTAACTTGAAGATCTAGAAGATCTTTTAACTATGTTTTATTTTAATAGAAAGAAAGATTTTTTACTTCACTCAAAAAGGTAGCAGTTTGACAGTCTGTCATCATCCCCTCAAAATGTAAGTTGTAAATCTCAAATAACAATATACTGTCATAACACAGCTGCCCAACTGTGTTGTCTTAGTCCAAAGCGGGCTTTCTTGGCTCAAGTTGCTGATGAACACGTGTGTTTTCTTTGAACTCACTGGTTTATTTGTTCATGCTGACCCGTGGTACACTCACACACTGTTTCTAGTGTTTAATGGTGCACAGTGGACAAACAAACAAAGTAACGAGGGATTTAACATTAACTGAAATCTGTAGGTCAGCCAGAGATGTGACGATGAATAACTTCGCGCTTCGTCACAAACATGCTCGACAGCGTGTGTTGGTGGAAAGGCCAAGATGTTAAGCCAGGTTGTCTTATGTTGTCTTGAAAACTGATGATCAAGATGTCATTAAGTATGACCGTGTCTTCCATCTGTACCAGCGATGTTCTTCCATGTTCTGAAAGAGAAGGTTTTGATGTTGCATGTAACCACAAAGTATGAATGTCAAGTCTTGATTGTTTGCTTGGCTGCTAAAAGACTGAAGAAGGTTAGAGGTTTTCTTGCTGCAACACAAACTCCTCTCCAGTCTCTCAAAGCAAGTGACCTTGCTTCTGCTTTATTTGGAAGTAGTTATGCTTGTAGTCGAGATTGACAGAGTTTGTAATCGGCAGTTTAATGACCGCTTATCGGGGGCTGACACAGTGAGTTTCAAGGAATACTTCTAAAGGAATGAGCAGCTATTTTGTAACTTGGAGTAAAGATTTGTTTAAGTCCAAGGATGGAGTCTGAATATCTCTCCATGGCTCTTTCCTTTGATGCACCCTCTGTAGCTTCAAATAAATGAAGCAGTTGCTGTTCATATTTAGTAAGCTGTTAGTCAGAGCCTGGCTTAGAAAACATTGCAAAAATAAAACGCAAGTGTTAAATTAAAAAGTGCATCTGTGCATAGTAAGATCCTTGAACTCAGTTTAATCACATAGTTGTGTTTTTAAGGACACGGAAACAGTGGGTGTCTGCTGTTTCCGTAGTCAGTGGATTCTCTCTTGGGAAACATTCACAACTTGTATGAATCGTCATTTAGTGATTTGAATTCCAATCTATAAACCTTCATGTGTTGGCTTTCCTATGGGTTTCTGTTGTGTGAAGTTTGATTAACGTTGTGCTGTTTCTGCTGATTTAGGATAAATATTTTTTTTTAAAATAGTGTTTACCTTTTTTGGCCTAATTTGGAGTGAAGATTAAATGCCACACTGATGCTACTCATACATGTTATGACTGCTTTCTGCACTTTACAGGGGCAAGATGACTAGTTCTCGTAGCTGCAAGCAACTATTAAAAATCTATGCACTGAGCGTTTATACACAGAACTGCGCTTTTTTACAGTTTGTGTACATTTTTAAAGACCATAACAATGATTAATAATAAAACCTGACAAAATCGACTCAATACTTTTTCTGCTTGTTTTATAGCAATAAAAAGGTTGGATTTAAAGATCACTTTAATAATATTATCAGCAAATAACTGAGATTATGTTTGGCTTAATTAGCACTTTCTTTAAATGTTCTACAATTTGTTCACAATGTGACAGCTTGCCGAAGTGTCAGGCTGAATAGAAAACTCTTGCTAAGCAGAGTTGTGCTGCAACCTGATACACCTGAATGAGAATCCTTCTCAGCTAGCTACTGAGAGCTCGGGCTGACATTAAACAACAGATCCAGCGGCCATTTTGAGTTCCTGCACTAAATCCAGGAGCAGTAAATGAGGCCGTGGGACGGGGGAGGGGGGATAGTCGGCTCTGCGCAGTGTGCAGTAACACTGGAATGTGAAGCAAACCAATAATTGTTCTTGCAGTTTTCACTGCTCCACATATTTGTGAACGCTTTTTTAGGAGTTTTTTTTTTCTGATTCTTCTTGTTTTTCAGGTCAGATCTTTTTTTAGGCAATTGTATTGAAATGCTGTCTTACTTATTTTTAGAACAATAGGAAGGAAAACAGCAAGAAACATGCATGCTCATGTAAAAACAGAGTAGGGAAGGCCTAACATATTGAACGTGTGCACAAACATCTCACTGTGCTGCTCAGCATTAAAGCTGGAGCTATACGCTCAGTCCACATTAGTCTTTGTGTTTTTCCATATACATGTGGCAGCCTGCTAAGCTTCAACATACACAAGGCTAAATGAGAGGTTTTTGCAAGTTGAGGCTGTTTTCCCTCGGTTCTCTCTGCACCATGTGAGTACTGCAGTAGCAGTAAAGCTAACCAAGTTTACAGTGTGAAACTGACACGGCTTACTGCTCATTCCTGGTCGGAGTTTAAAGGTTTCTCATGTAGTAACCACTTTTTATGTTGTGTTTTTGCACTGGAACCAGTATAAAGACATGGCTGTTTGAGGTTCCTACCATCTGAATGTCTGTTTTTGCTTTTTACCACTAGAAGCGACAGTCTGATCTTAGCAGCTGGGGGAAAAATAAGACCAAAAATATAACAAAACTGTCAGTGACTGCATGTTTTTTTTGTTTGTTTGTTTTCTCTTTCCTGTACATAATTATGTTTTGTTTTTTGTTTGTTTTTTTAAGTTCAACCTTTCTGCAGTAAAACATCTTTTTCTGTCCATCATTCTGGCAAACCACTTTCCTGTTTTGTGTCCTTTTGTGTTAACCTTTTGTGTGTTTGTCACCACTTTGGCGATCTTCACCAGTTTGTCACCACTCTATTGGTGTTCTTCTTAAGCCTCTTGCTTGCAGATAACTGAATAATCACCCAAAATATAATTGTGATATTACGTTATTGTGTTTACCTTTGAGTAATTTTTGCCTTGTGAGTTACTGAATTTTGAAAAAAAAAAATAGTTTCGAGTTTTGTCACGTCATAGGCAATTTCATTTGCTTTACCAGCACGAATAAGCGAAAGCTGGTCACGACCGATAATTTTACACTGCAGAAACAAATGTAAGGAAGAAGCATCAGTCTTATCAAAATCCGGGATTTAGTGTCCTTAGTCTACTTTACTGTATGCTATTTTAAATCTGGATATAAATAAGTATGATAAAAAATACAGTAATTGACATAATTGCACTTTTAGTTGATGCAATTCATATTGACCTGGAAAAATATATCACTTTGAAGCCAAAGAGACAGTTAGAGCTCAAGTTACTAAGACATTTCCTAACAAATTATTCTCATTTGTCCCTCAGGTTGTCGACAAGTCCTGTATTAAGTCCATTGTCAGGAACCCTTTGGCTTGAAGGTGAGTTCTAAATACTTTTTCTCTGCTACTTAATATTATAACACATGAGTGCAAAAGAAGAAAATTACTGCAAGTAAAGTATCTCCTGCACACAGCTCAGGTTCATTTTTACTTCTGACACCCATAAAATGAAGGTAAAATCAACACATGCTTCCACGCATATAAAATAAGTAGACATGAAATGAATCCTTGTAGAATGTGACAACTAGCCTTAACAGTAAATTGTGCACAACAATCACAACTATACGGAAAGTCCTTCATGTTTTGCATAACCTTTTTGCTGCTGCCAGCACAGCCTGAATGGGTCCGTTCTGATTTGCTGACGAGGGAACCAATAGGAGGATGGGGGGATGGGATGAAGGTTGAGCTGCTGCTGTTGTTAACTCGTGCCACTTCTGTTCTCAGGATTGGGGCTTAGGTAAACATGAAATCCGTAGTTTTTCAGAAAAGTGAGGTAGAGGGAATTTGCAGAAGCAAGTTTAGCTTTTCTGACTACCATGAAAAAAGGTTTCCTGGCTTACTGAGCTGCTTGTTGACTTAAGTCACTGTAGGACAGATGAAGCAATGTGTAATCAGATGGATGAGTGTGATTTGGCTTGGATGCTGAGTTAAATTTGTAGTAAAGGAACGGGCTGCTAAGGAACCATCAGTTTGGTGCAGAGACAGCTGTGACAGAAGAACCTTCCAGAAAGAAAAAGCTAATGCCAAAGAGCTCTGCAGTGTCCTCTAGTGTTTTCTCGGAAACGGTGCACCCAATACTGTGCAATGCGTAAAGATCAGAATCAGGAAAGGTTAATTAGCGGAAGACACTGTGCCATTAACTTTTACAGCTCTAGGTGTTGTCTGTTCTCATTAATCCCTTCTGAATGCATGTTATCTATTATCTCTACTCCACAGGCAAAGATGGAAGTTATTGTGACAGAAGAGAAGAAGAAGATTTTCCGCGCCAGGAAAACCATGAAGATCAGTGATAGACATCAGCTGGAGAACCTGCACAGCACATTGCTCACTGTGGGTACAAGTTTGTCCAACCCATCTCCACCACCTGTGATGAATGGAACACATAAAGAGGACGGACAAAAAGTGGGCGACAAAGAGCAAAACAACATCCTGGACTTGAACACTCCCCAGACTACACCACCCGTCTCTCCGACCGCTCTGAGCTCTCCCACACCGTCCCTGTCCCTAAATTTGTCTCCTTCCCCTCCCTCTTCAAGTCCAAAAGGACTCGAAGAAATGACTGCTCCGAGATCACCAGTGGATCCTCTAAATTTTGAACTGAAAAAGGTAGAAGAAGATGAGAAGAAAGATAGCACACCATCATCATCAAGTGAACCTGTCACAGCTAGAACAGACTGCAAGGGACAACAGGAAAAAGACACTGAGGTGATCCCAGCTGAGGAAAAGAAGAAGGTAAATGCATGGAAACATGAACAAAACTGTCAGATACCTTTATATTTATTTTAAAAAATTAGTTTATACTGTAGTTCGTATTGAAAGTGGAGAGCCCGAAAAACGTTTAATTGGTTATCTTTTTTAATTTTCTCAGGAGGATCACACTGTAGAAGAGGACCCAGCTGTAGATTTGGCAGTGGACCCACTGAAAGGTTCGGATACACCTGTGCCACCTGCAGTATCTGACTTCACAGAACCAATGGAAACAGATAGTGACACTACAAAGGAAATGGACACTGAGGCTTCCACAGCCAAAGTACCAGATGAAAAGCCTTCTTCTCCTAAATGTACCACTTCCGACTCTTCCTCATCTTCTTGCTCTATACCCAATCCAGCTTCTTCTTGTGCGGACCAAAAACAATCAGTGGAAATCAAAGATGACATAAAAGAAGTAGAGACTGACAAAGCGGATGTGAAGAAAGGCTTGACGTGTGAGGAAAAGATGGAGGTGGGCTCTGTAAAAGTGGAGCCCAAAAAGGAAAAAACTAATGTGGGACAAGCCTCAAAGCCATCTCGACCATCGTCCACTCCACCATCTGATACAGGTATGAGATGGTGGATGTTGCAACGCAAAAAGCAATTATATACTACATGACATGTGAATAGGATAATGTAACACTGTACTCAAAACATAAATGATTTGATAAGATTTCAAGTCAGAATGCAGAATCCTTGCATACTTTACCATGGGATAAATCAGCTTCCTCTGATCCTGAAGGGAAAAGTTGGGTGGTTTCTTTTTCGGAAAATTGTCACAGGAAATGTATCATTTGAGGATTTTACTGCAATAAATTTCCTGGATGATGTTGCAGTTTGATACGTGGAACTCTTTCGCAGTTCTTGGAGTTGGAGGAAGTTGTGCCTTTTTTCTGTGTGACTGCAGGAGTAGGAAAAGATTGCAGTTAGTACTCTATATTTGGTGTTGTTTTTACTTGAGGGTAGGGACTCATCCAGCACAAGAGGACCCTTTGTAAGTTTACAGGGATTCGTTTAGACTTCAGTTCATATGCTGATTAGTCAAACAAACAGAAGAAGAAGAAAAAAACACCAGGTGTAAACACTGGAAAAATGTTAACCATGTAAACAACGGCTCTTATTGCTAGCTTGTAAAAAAGAAAACGGAGTCACAGAGTAAGGAACCACTGGTAAAGTCCATATGAATATGGACTCAGTTTATATTAGGACATGCCTTTGATTCAATTACTAACTAACCTCTGATCAGCTTTTACATAACTTCAGCGTTCATAATGGCAGTATCAATAGAAACAGAAAATAAAGCCTTCAGAGGTATGCAGTTCTTTTTGAGGGCCCCGGGTCACTGAAAGGGAGACCCAACAAATGTTCTTATTGAAAGTAACTGTTACTGGTTCTGTGTTAAGTTTAAATATTTTGGTGTTTGTCTTTGTTTGCTAAGCAGTGAAAGAGGAGAGGAGCTCAACCTCGGGACTGAAACGCACTTTATCGGAGGGCTCTGAAAAAGATGGGCAAACTGTAAAAATAGAGGGTAAGAGGCCCAAGATGGACCGTGAGGAGTTGGAGGCCCAACTGGAACTTAAAATTACTACAAAAGCTGGCAGTCATCATAAACTCGGGAAGGTTTGTATTCGAGTATTCAGATATGCTTTTACTCTAGTAGCTTTTAAACACTGGTTACATAAAATCCATTCACACATACAGCATAATTGATGCCGACTTCATTTTTTTCACAGTGCTCTGTAGCCTTAATTATAATAATTTTGACTGATATAGCTGAGCTTGGATAAATATAAGTTTCTCTTCACCAATTTTCCTAACATTTCATCCCTTTCACCTCATTCTTCTTCGCAGATTGTGCAGCAGTTAGTGGAGGAGCGATTGAAGGTGTTGGAGCTCACCATTTTCGACAAACATTTCCAAGAGCTGAAGGACAGAGTAGACAAAATTGACTGCGCCACTAAACACCAAGCTGCCATTAACACACTCCAAGTGAGTGCAGGGTAACTTTTTATGTGAAATTAAAATTGTCCCATAAGGAGAACATGTTGGGCATTGGAAGATGCTCTGCTTCCATTTGACAAGTATCTAAAGTCTACTTGGTGTTTCTCTTCAGGCCAAGATTGCCCGACTATCAAAAAAGTTTGGAGAGGCTAATCAGGTATCGGAGAATAAAAGGAAACAGGAGGTAAGATGTTTTTTTGTAACTTGTTTTTTTGTAACTTGTTAAAATGTTTCCATTTGGCAGGTGATGAAAAATGTTGAAACTTCTTATTTGTTTTCTACAGGCACTTGCTGCTGTTGCTGCTGCTACTGCTGCCAAAACGGCAGCGGTTACGAATAACCCTCAAGCTCAGCGGTAAGTGTTCAGGACTCATTTTCAGTCTAGATCCCTGTCAGCTATGCTTTGTATGTTAAGTCATGTATTTGAGAGGCAAATCTCCATGGCTTTTTTAAAAGACATTTTAGTCCCTTCAGTGGAAGTTAACACCTTTTGACAGTCCACTTGTCAGTCTGATTTTGAGGTTTCAAAACTGACAGCATCAGTGTATTTAAACATGTAATCTTTGAATCATACAGCAGTTTGTGCATGATGATATTTTGTGTGAATATAATTTTGCTTTTGTATGAACGTGACAATACCGGACTAAAGCAAGTACTTACTACACACGAAACCGTTACACTGTGAATAGTTGACATTGTCCCGGGTTGCTAAGTGTAATCACTAGATTACAAACAAATGGACAGAATATCAATCTTTACGTCCTCTAAATCCATACTTTTTTGGAAACAAGAATCCATGTCCCTTGTTCGGTTTGTCAGGACCATCTTTTTGAAAGTCTTAATTTCGCTCCAAATATTTCTAAAGACTTGTTTGGAATAAACAAACACATGCCCCAGTGTGTGTTTTGCACCTGCAAAGTAACCCCACATGGGTCCAGGTCCTGAGTCTTGTGACGTTCTACAATATGAAGCCTGAGCGTTTCTTCAGGCAGTGCAGAGTGTAGTTAAAACTGCACCTCTCCTCCCAACAGCGTGCTCCGTCGACAGACAATAGAGCCGCAGCCTGAGGTGCCCAGAGAGGGATTGGTGCCCTCTGTTGATAAGACTCCGGCACTGTCTGTCAAGATGGAGGGAGAAGACGAGGAAATGGAGGAGGAAGAGGAAGCAGATATGTCCCGCCATGTTGCCATGGCGAGAAAGCTGGCAGAGTACAATGAAGGGAAATGCAGAGCAGACATTAAACTCCGCACGATTCCCTCGCACTTGGAAAACGTGCTCTACCACAACTGCAAGAGAAGCTCAGGGAACCCAAGACCTGACCGCTACGCCTCGTACATTTTCCGCTACTTAGTGCCATACGATGTCTACTGTGACTGGGTCGCAAAGGTCAACTACGTTGGATTATTGGGCAAAGAGGCCTTGCCCGTAAACTTGAGGAGGGCGATGAGGATGTACATTGAGCGTCGATTTCCTGTGCTGTCTTGTGAGAAGTGGAGAGAAATTCGAGACGTTATCAATGAAATACTGCGAGTAAAGAGAAGGCCGGAGTTTTTTCGAGAGTACGAGGAAAGAACTGGCATGTCGTTTTGACGCTTGAACGCCACAGGAACTGAAGCATACTGGGACAATTGTCATTATTCGTGGTAGAACATATATAAACATTTTGTCAAAATATCACCCTCCAGTCACTTAGATCTTTGTAGGTGTTCTTAAAAATGATCATGTTGAAAAGGATATTAATCTCTGCTGACAGACTTTGTGAAGTTGGCACCATGCTTGAAGAGAGCGAACTGCAGTTAAATACCGATGAATGATTTTGTGAAAACTCGGACACACGCTTTAAGTTTGATTCTCGTTCCTACCACAAAGATGACTGTGTTACATGGAATAAATCTAAATGTCAACACCTTACCTCATTCACTCTTCATCCTGTAAAGGACATAAGCAACTTCAAGTGTCAACAACTCTAAGTATCAGCAATCTTTCTAAACAGGCCAGGCTGGACTTCCATGGAGGTAAAGCAGACATCCACAACTGTTTCTTCATCCAGCACAGCAGGTGAGTAACAAAGATCTGTCTTTAATTTTTTTATGGTAAATGTTGTGTATGTTTTGTTTGTTTGTTCTTTGACAGAATTAATGGCTTCTTGTGGGAGTTTTGAAACTTTAGCTTTTTTCTTCATGTGGGTTTGCATGTTGTTCGTTCTTTGTGTGTACTTGAAGCCTGACCAGTGTTGGATATTTGGGACCTATTCCCAGGTTTTAGGTAGTACAAATTCAGGTATTGGTGTATTGGCTAAACAATAAATGAAAATGGGATCCAGTGCAAGCTGTGACAGATAAAGCTAGGATTTGACACAACAATGCAGTCATTTCAGAACAGTTTAGAGTGATCTTCAAATAATAGCCAAAGTATACTATATCCCTAATGCATACTTACACAGTTAAACAAATGGCACATTAGACTTGTCCTTATCTATTTACTTTGTAGCAACAGAAAGTTGCTTTTGTCTGCTTCGTTATTTATGAGCGGTTTCCACAGCAGAGATCCCTGCATGTTTGATTTGGCAGATTTCTTTATGGCAGATCTGATAGTTTACTTCACAAACCTATCTGTTGTGTTATTTTGAAGACATGGCTCAACTTTGCACCATAGTTTGCTCAGTTCTGATGCATACTCTGCTGCATGTGCTGCAAATAGTGGTGAGACTTTTGTAAACAGCAGAGTCAAAGCCTCTTTTTTTATTCTTTATTTTTTGTTTTTTTTTCTTCAGGAAAGTGTTATAGTTATTATAGTTCTGTATTTTCTAATTAGTTTTTATTTTTCTTTCATTTTAACCTTTTGTTTAAAATTCCGTCTAGTTAGTTTGTTTTAGTATTAATTTGTTTTACACTTAGTTTGGATCTTTATAATTATTTATGTCCGAGACAAGATTTAAGAAAATCAGTACAGCAGTTAGAATCAAAAAAACACTGAACTTTCTGAAAATGGATACAATTTTTACCAAACATTATAAGTACTAAACTTTCTCCTACACTATTTATTTTATTTTGATTAGTTTTCAAAAATTTTTTTGGAGAAGTCTTGTTTTTATACACCGAAACATTCAGAAATAAGAAAACAGTCGACTTCTTAGTAAGTGTTTACAATGTAGCCAATTACATATAGGAAAAAAATATTGCCTAGTTTTAATTTTCAGCAATGTTAATTGAGTTGGTTACAGAAACACCGCGAAAGTGAGCGTATCAAACTTCTGGCTGCTCTTTAATGTTTATTCCTGTTAAGAAGCCATGTTCGTAATTGGAAGTTTATTGACCATGACAGAATTACAGAAAATAGGTCATCTTACCTTTCATGTTTTCCAGGAGCAGAGTGGAAAAGTGTCATTGAATTTGTCTGCATGTTGTATTTTTGCATAGATGTCTCAAAATCTTTTGTCCATGTCATGCTGGGATGGGTTTTTAACTGCCATCACCTTTACTAGCAATTAACAAATGATTGACAGTCTTTTGAGCAAAAGTGTACCCTGTGCAGATATTTTCAAGTCTCTTCTAACAAGTCTCTTTCCCCCCCCAGTAGTTCCAGTTCCTACCGCAACCCCTGCCGCAGCTTCAGCCCCTGCTGCAGCTTCAGCTCCAACTCCCACCTCCACTTCAACTGCCATGGTTCAGCAGACCCCTATCCTCCAGCTGATCACTTCCAACTCTAATCCCACCTCCACCTTGGCCACTGGCAGTACCACCCAGAGTCAAACGGGCACCCTCCTCTTGAAGACTGCCCCTGGGAGTAGCATGATGGCTACAGGCCAGCCGCTTCTCATCCAGTTGCCTTTATCAGTGAACGGCCAGGCAGGGACACTGGTCAACATCCCCGTCTCGTCTTTGTCTGCAGCCAGCTCACTGAACAAGTCCAAAACCACTGCTTCTACCGCCACGTTTATACTCAAGCCTGCACCTGTCACGACCACAGCCACAGCCTCGGCACCAGCTGTGGCCACTGTCCCAGCCCTCCATGGCTCCAGTGCCCAGATGTCCTCTGGCCAGATCTCTCTTGCTCGTGCTGTGTATCAAGGGGGTGCAAGTGGAATAACTACACCCCATGCTGGGGTATCTGTGACCACGGCCAGGACACCAGCTCAGTCTGTCTCTGTAGTCGGGGCCATGTCTTCAGTCTCTTCACCTACAACATCTGGGCCAGCAGCAACCGGATCCACTGCTCCAGGACCTCCACAGGGGATGTCTTTGACATCAAAGACAGGTGAGGATGACTGAAGAGCACGGAGGTGCTGCTGACATTTCATTTTCCTTAACTTGGTACTAAATTTAGATTGTTTTGTATTTCTCAGACAACCAAGTTACAGTAACCGCTGCATCTAAAGCAGCTGCACCAGCGGCACGACCCAAAGGCTCCGTAATTGACCTCACCGAGGACGATGATGATGTCCAAGGTTAGAGTTGGCGAACTTTTTGTTTTGTTTTTACTTCCCCTAATATATGTTATTAAGGCTAATTATGTTATGTTTTATGGTTTTCAGTGACTGGAGTGAAGAATGCTACTGTTACAACTCCCTCACCGAGCCCACGCACTAACCCAGTCATCAGCATCCACAACAGTAAGAGCACCAAATTACACTAAACAAATTTGATCACTCTGGCAAATTATAAAGTATCTAGTAATTTAGGCAGATGCCTATGCATATGTATCCTGTGCTTTAATTCTAACTTATACATATAATCTGAGTTTCTTGTTTTGTTTGCTTTTGTTTTTGTTTTCAGATACAGGAGCAAGAGCATCCCCTCTAAGCAATCAGAACAGTTCTGGCAATCCTCAGTTGACAGTACATCACCGCCCCCCAGTGGTGAGCTTTTAGAACTGGATTCTAAATATTTCTCACACATGCACTTCACTACTTTTCTGTTCTGTAACTTCAATGTTTAAGTCTTGGTGAATTGTTATTTTAACATGATTTGCTGATGGTTGGTTTCTAAAGCTATTATTAGATTTTTCTCTGTTGAAAACTACAGCTGTTAGCTGTTTTGGGAGTTATCCAAGCACGAATGATCCTTTTGCCACAACTAAAAGGAAAGAACAAGCTGTGACACCAGATTTCTTTTTTTGCAGGATACTCCATTAAAATCCCGCAGTGTAACCACTACTACTACACCAACTCGAGGCTCCAGCATGGCGCTTCCACCGCTCCCTCCTGCACCCGCACCATCACGCTTACCCCCAGAGGCTGAACGGACCTCGCCTCCTCAACAACCTCAGCTAAAGCTGGTGCAGAGTCAGACTGGTATAGTGCTCTCCTGGTGTGTTGGAGAAGTTGATCGGACCTGCGCAGCTGTAGAAAGCTATCACCTTTATGCCTTTCATCAAGATAACTCTAACAGCAATGCATCTCAGCAGCACTGGAAGAAAATTGGGGAGGTGAAGGCCCTTCCACTGCCTATGGCCTGTACGCTGACCCAGTTCCAGTCTGGCTCCACGTATCACTTTGCTGTTCGAGCCAAAGATGTATATGGGCGCTTTGGCTCTTTCTGCGAACCTCAGTGCACAAATGTCATCAGTTCCAGCTCTAGTTGAACCGTTACAGAAAAGACATAGCGTTTTGCCTTTGATAGTTTATGACTTTTCACCTGTTTTGTGTTAGGAACTGAAATATTGTACGCTGGACAAAAACAAACACCTGTAAATGTCTTCCCATATAACAACTGGGCAACAAACTGACTTGGAGAGTTCAAGTGGCAAACGGTTGGTTTTGTCTGACTCATCATATGTAATGTGTTTTTTGTGACTTAAGCTGTTGTGTATATAAGTTGAAAAAGTTTGCCCCTCCTGCCAGATCAGGTATTTGTGTTGTTCGCTCCTGATCTTCAGACCCAGATCTTTTTTTTTTCTTTTTTTTTTTTCTTTTTTTTTTCTTCCTCTTTTACTTGACAGGATTTTTTTTTCCATGTAAACTAAATTGCACAGAAATGTATAAATGTGTGGTAGAAACAGAATGATAACTTTTGTAAGTTTTGTCTGGCAACCAGACTTTCACAAGCATAATAAAGAGGTTTTATTAAAGTCAGCGACAGAATAAATATTCTGTATTTAATGCCATAGCACTCCTCTGCAGTTAGACTTTAGTCACCTAGGCCTAGAGAGCCTGGATGACTCCTTTGTAGTTCCCATAGGATTGGCAAGTTGTTCCTAGAGGTTTGTGGGTGATGCTAGGTGAAATCTGTTTCAAAGAGTGCTGCATCCACAACGTTCTTGTGATTGCCCAATTTGTGCAGACAAATCGTCACCGACACAGTGGCGACTGCCAGCAACCACTCACCAGCTGGTTGTGGGATACATACTTTTCCTAAACAACCTGGGGTTGCCAGTGGATCACTGACTGATCCCTAGGCCTATGTGAATGAGGCTTCAGCAATCGATCTCAAAGCAACTGTCAACACCAGCTCCCAACTGGTCAGGGGTTCAGGGAACATGCGTGTATATATATATATATATATATATATATATTTTTTTTTTTAACCTCATTACCAGTGGTTGCCGGATGATTACAGAGTGGTCATTAAGCCTGTGTGGCTCGGACCATACAGAAACCACAAAGCAGAAAACCAATGCCCAACAAAGACATGGACTTTGGTAACAGGATACAGAAAATATAGTCATGTGGGGACCAAAATCAAAAAGGTTATGTTATTGTCTCTGAATGTGCACAATAAACCTTGTCAGATGGCAGTCCTGTGACTCAGTGGATGTCTTATACTGGTGTTCTTCAAATGCGAGAACAAGATCAGAACAACTATTTGGATAAATCCTTGTGAAGGCATCAAGAGGATTATTGAAATGCTTTAAACAGCTGTAACCACTCCGTTATTTTGGCACAAGGCTGGCTGGCTGGTTTTAAGATTGGTCCCTGAAGCCATCCACTAGTCCATTTATTTTAAACAGCTGGGCTGGAGCCCTCTCTAAGATGAATTGAGCGACAGATAATTTGGAGATGCTACTTAACCTTAACAAAGCTGTCTCTGGACTGCAAATGGAAACCCAATGAACCACACGGAGAACATGCAGAGTGCACGGCTGACCATAATGTTCAAGCGGAGAACCTTGTTTCTGTGAGGCGACAGTGCTAACCACTGCTCAAATGTGCTACCTATCCTTCTCTAGTGGGACTAGCTGCACAGCCCCATTAAAATCAAAGCAGAAATTGATTCTCAGACTGCCTCGTTAAAGAGTTCTTGGGCTTTGACCTGTGGAAGCTGGTCAAAAGAAGAATACACTTGATTTTAGTCTTAGCGGAAAGAGGAACTGAAACAAACCATTCTGGTAAAGAAAATTGCCAGGCTGGTAGATGATCTGGTTTGGAATTTTAACAACAAGACAGTCTCATGTCTCCAGGAAACTGGCAATGCAATGTCTGGAAGAAAGGGAAGTAGAAACTAGCTCGGACTGAGACAAACTGTGTACATTGGCTGGCCATGAGCTCTGACTGACGTTGGCATGTCTCGGATGAGGATCTATAAACAGACTAGGTGGAAGAGGTGCAGTCTCGTTCTTATAAAGTGCTTTTCTACTCCGAACACTCAAAGCACTACATACTAAAATCCTCATTCATCGATTCGCGCAAGCACGCAAGTGCTTTCTACGTAACATTCACACTCCAATGAATGCATCAGGGTTCACTAGTTGGCATGCAGATTTGAGCAGCCAGGGATCAAGCCACCAACTTTCTGATTAGTGTCCTGCTAATCTACTAAAAAGTCCTGGCTTCAGGGATGGTATATGGAAGTGCACTTCCCTGGTAAGATTAGATGAAAATGCTGACAGGGCATGGGGCACTGCTCTGATGAAGGATGGAGGAACTCAGTCCAGAAAATTTGAAGTGCAATAGACTAAGCTCACTGCAATATGATAAAATCAACTATGGTAAATCAAGACAGATAAGCTAAGTGGTCCTCTGGAAGTGATTGGCAGAGGGAGAGACTGGTTCACCAGATTAGGCTGTGACAAGACATGCCTGGATCCAAGAGTGCTGCATCAATATAAGCCTTGGAAGATGACATCTGAAATTTTTAAATCACTGTCAAAGTCTTTAGTATCATTGCATTTTTGACTTTTTCATGGACCTCAAATTTGCGCAGTGAGCAAAATAGGTGTCAAGCTCAATCTTCATGTTGAGGATCACCACTGGTGATAAGCTGTGCCTTCAAGAGACAGACAGTCCTCAGTGGATGAGTGGAATTTTGAGGGCATTGCATCAAGAGATAAAACTAGACCTGGAAAATATCTCTAGACTGTAACATTATGAAAGGTCCGAGAGAGAAAATTTGGGACAAAAGATCTGAACTGTGGCACTTTCCCATTGTACAGTTGTGCACATTAGGGCTGGGTATCGTCACTGATTTCTAGAATCGATTCAATTCCGATTCACAAGGTCCCGAATCGATTCGATCCACGATTCGATTTAATTCGATTCGATTTAAATCTGGGAAATTTTGACAGTCAGAAATATTATAATTCAGATCAGTACATTTACATATTTTTGTATCAATAAAAAGGAAGCTGACACACGCAAGACTTTATCACAGGTGTGAGCGTCACAGCAGATGCCTTTGTGTCAAAGTAGCTGAAGATAAAACACAGAAAAACATGAAGGTGATTTTCCTGGCCTGGGATTTTATAAAAATATTCTGCAGTACATCAAAAACGAAAGAAAACCATTAATCAACATATGAACATTACCTCTGAAGTTACAGCGGTTTTATTAGAGACACGGTTAAGCGTTTTGCATTTTGAATAATTTTAAAAAGTTTAAATTTGTTCAGTATTGAACAGCAGAAATGAGGTTTTCTTTTCGGAAGAATGTAAAAGGGAAAAAAACAGCGGCTGACAGCGCTGTAAACAACAGTAGACTGGTGCGTAACAAGCAAGCGAATAATGAAGAAAGGGAAACTGTTCTTGAAGTACAGAGAGAGAGAGAGAGAGAGAGGGAGAGAGAGAGAGAGAGAGAGAGAGAGAGAGCTGTGCATCGCGGTGGAAGCAAAACAGTAAAAGTCAGAGTGAATTCATGACGATGTTTATGTGAAGCGTTTGGATCTTCTTTTGCTGCTGGTTCGGTCAATATTGTTTGGAGAGACATCAAACTAACAGCTTTAGAATCAGCGCATAAAGGGCGTGAACACAAAGCGCGGACCCGCCGACACATCAGGATCAGCGAGCTGTCGGCTTTCAGCCCCGACCGTGAGAAAGGCGACATCTAACTGATTCTGATCCGCGGGTCGCGCTGTGTGTTTAAGTCTATGTGCAGAATCCGTGTACCTGCTCTCATATACTGTCTTAACTGTTTGGTGGTTCTTGAAATTTTGTGAGATGTCACCAGAGATTCTGGCATTTTGGGAAACATAAATTTATATTAAAAAATCGATTCAGGAGTTTAATGAATCGATTTTACGTAATCCAAGCCAGAATCGATTTTAATCGATGAATCGATTATAAAAACCCACCCCTAGTGCACATTCATCACAGAACCACCTTCCTCGCTCAGATCCAGGTTTGAGGCCCACTGTTTTGATGGATATGATACAATGTGCACTGCAAATGTGAACATGCAGTTGGTCAGTACAGAACATCCATAGAAAAAAAATGGAAGTAGCAAGGTTGCTGGAAGTGGTGCAGCACTGCTCATGAAAAGTACCTTGAAGGGAATAGTGACAAAATTGAAATTGGAGCTTAATGGAGTCTTCTCGATGGTCTGTACGAGCCAGTGTTGGAACTTTGAGCTGCACAGGCTATAAGATCACATTCACTGGCTTCACCTGGGATGGGTACCAGCCTTCATGGAAACATTTAATTAGGTCCGACCTTAGTGATGGCTTTGGTTCTTCCAGGTCATACAGAGGCTTGATTCAATCTCCACACTTACAGACTTTGACTCAGGGGCTTTTTACGGTTACTGCATTGGTTCTACCACTCACAAACAATCATGTCACTACAGCCCATCACCATTTGAGAACTGAGGACGTGAGAATTTGCTGAAGTATTCTTTTACAAATGATAGGTGTCGCCACCCAGACAAGCAGCGTGCAGGTATAATTGGCCTTTGAGTCTTCTCAGTCCATGAAGGCTGAGGGTTGAATGAGTGTTTCTGCAAATTTTGCCTAAAGTCATTGCCCACATGTTATGCCATACAGGAGTGAGTAGATGTCTTAGAAAAAACTGTGGAAAATTACGATGTAAACAAGCTCACATCCAGGTAGATATTTAAAACCAACAAAGAGATTACAGATGACTGTAGCGTGCCCTTCATTACATTTTGAGTTTCTTTACCTTTTTTCTTCATTGGCTCGTCATTGATGTTTGACATTTATTTGCTATCCACGTAAGCAAGGCAAGGTTTCAAATGGAACAATTAAATTCTTTCACCATAAAGAAAGTAAACAATCTTAACTTCCAATCCAACTGCAAGTATTGATTGATTGATTGATTGAATCACCCTGGAGGCAAGCCTGGGGAGGGAAGTTGAGGGAACATGCCTGGTGGCTGGGCCGATGGAGACCAAAGAGATGACATGGGCCCACCTCCTGAAGGAGGTGCTGTATGGCGTTTAGTACAATATTTGTTGTACGGCAATCAAGAGTGGGGGCTCTGACAGTTCAATGTCGGGCTACTGAGGCTGGCTATGGAAGAAAAAAATGAACTTTTTGGCACTAATGTTAAGGATTCAAAATGTTTAGCACAACACAAGTGGGTGATATCTCTGTGGCTACATCCATCATTTAAATACAGTCTTTGACCCACATGGACAAGTGACGAGGCACCGTAAGAATCATGCTGCATGATGCAGTAATACGAACTACAGGAGTTGTTGGATACCCTTTTTCAAGCACACACTCCCATAAACGTTACCTGTAGGCAGCTTCATTCACAAGCTGGCAGGTTTCTGTGGCAACACGCCACATAAGCGGGATGCCTTTCTGTTTGATTTTATTACATATTTAGTTCAGGCACAAAGAATAAAAAAATAAAATAAAGTAAAAAAAATGCTTGTTTTGAATTAAAACCACATGTTAGATGTGACAAAACTATCAATAAAAATTACAGTGTCAAAAAAACAAAAAACAAAAAACCCCCCACATGTTAGAAAGCTCCATTTTCTGTGTTGTCAGGCGAATCATACATGCACCTATACAAACTACCACTAGAGGTCTCTCACATAATCTACTGCTTTATATTTCCCACGGAATGAAACTGTAAATAACACACTTTCTGCACCAAAGAGAAGGTACAGAATCATACCTGTTTGTCTATTGAATTAACACAAGTCAGCGATGGAAAGAGTAAATGAATTTAAGAAAAAGAAGAAGAAAAACTACAAAATCATAACAACAAACCTATGTAAGTTATATTTTCACAATTAGAAAAACTTAGTTTCACACTGCAACAGTAATCCTAACATATATGTAACTAATACTCAAAATTCCCAGTTCTACCACTCATATTTAGTACAATAAGCTGAGCGTATATAAAGACTTCAAGCAAAATGTAACTTTTTTGTATACTGATGAGTGTAAATAAGTGTAAATTCTATTTCACAGGCTGATTGCGTGCATATTTTGTATGTAAATAATTGAGCTGTAATATAAAAAGTGAACACACATCGAATACAGTAGATAACCCAATAATTGAAAAAAAGCTGCAGCCTGCTGTGTGTAAGCAAAGAATTTCCATTAGCATTTTATTTGGGC